TAGGGCCAACCGAGGTGAAAAAAGCCCGAAATCACCATTCAGGAGCACAACTTGGACCTATAAATAGACCTATGAGTACACCTATGCGAAGTCTCATTTTCACTCTGGTAGAAGACGGTGCTTAGCTGACAAGTGGTGCTGTGAAAATTGTGCTGGGTGCAGTACTGCTTTTCGTGGTTTGTGAAAATTGGCCATTGAAGTATCAATCATCAAATATAAACGTATTATGTGAAAAAATATTCTGCAAAATCCGAAAATGCCAGAGCAGGATCGGACGAGCGGATCACATGCCCATTTCACCGACCGGGTCATTCGCAATGGTGCGTGTGCGCTTTTTCGTAAGAGACGAACGACGATGTCGGCCATTACGTAGCCTGAAATGTTGGTCACCATAACAAAAAGCAAAGCCACACCAGTACCGTAACAGATCCCATCAGTTTTTATTCTGAAGGACTTTCTTCTCTTCTGAAATCTTCTCCTTCTTTCTTTTAAAAACTTCGTCAAATTATCTACTTTTAATCTAAGCTATAAAAATACAAGCGACACAATAAGAAACAGCGATGCGATCCATGAGAAGTCAATGTGTCTGTTATGATACATCTGATAGTGTTTGAAGTGAAGTAGGGAACAAACAATAGTGATTAAATAGTATAATCCCAGACTATTATAAAAAATTGAATTATACAAGGACATTTCCTCCAGTAAACTGAAAAAGCCATATTATAGCAAGCAATCGAGATATACCGTAATAAAGGAGAACGAGTTGACAGTCGAAAAGCCCCATCAGATATGGGAAATGGGTTAAGAAGCTGCCTAGGCGCAAAAAACCGAAATCAGTATTTTTGGGATACCGGGTGACATAACCTAGAGAACGAAGTTGAGAAAATAATGCAAAGATCGAAAGAAGTAAGCTAAGAAGTGAAGGAACGAGTTATTCATAGAGCTGTACAAATTTCGCAAATACAGAGAATACTGCATTCGACGGAAGTAGTTATGAAAAATTGATAGCTGTTGAAGTTTGCACCGGGTGACCAAGAATATTGAACTTCGAATGGAAAAATAACGATCCATCTAACACTTTCCCGACATTTTTAGGCATATCAGGATAGTTTCTTCACGAAGAGGATTACCACTACAAATTTTATCCCTTTTTCAACTTCTTTTTTGGAAACTGGATAACAATTTCTCTCTGCCGTGCCGAGATAGCAATGCTAACGTTTGCACAGGTCACCCCATAAGCCCAAAGATTTTTCACTTCGGACGACCCAGCCAAAGGTGAAGTATACTTTGCTGTGCATTACAGCTTGAAATCCAAGGACACCCCGAAACCCGCTATAAAGCGGTGACGCATTGGGAAAGGTTATTCTGGTATGTTAAATAAAAGGACGAAAATAAACTTCAGCTCTTTATTGGATGGGTAAGAGATCTGCTGACATAATCACATTCATTATCTGGAAGGAAACAGTCATTTTTGAAGCCTCACAACGAGAAATACTTCCACAAATTGTTCCGAGTAGAGGATTTAGGAGGCTTCGTCGAGGGTGTGAACGTTAGTAGCCATACACATATAATAATGAGAGCACACGAGTGTCCACTTTGGCGATGAGCGGGTCGAGTAAACACACAGACACATATGGACTTGATGAGGGAGAATGGCTGAGGAGTGAAGGGCAAACGAAAAGACCGACACGAGAACGAATAACCACCAAATAACTTGGCAGGCAGCGTGGCCAGAAAAGTGAAAATCCGCTAAGAGTTCAGAAGCAGTTATAGATAGTAAGCAAAATAAATGAACGGTCGACGTATGTAATAGGTGAGGATAAGGTCAAACGAAAGCATGTTTTAAGAACAGACAACGTAGCTTTGCAAAATAGGGAGATGAGGGAGGAACAACGAGAGAGGAGTTCAGAAAAGTGGTGTGCAAAGCTCTTTAAAGATAACAAACTCTGCAAAAATGCAAAATGACTAGTGAGATGTCGAGATCGGAGTAAGAAGAAAAAGGAAGGCGAGAAATAAGTGGGAAGCAAAATAGCTGACGAGTTAGAGGTACAAAAGGACAGAACGCGGATGAGGAACACAAGGAAATCAGTTATAACGAAACATCTTCACCAAAGAACAAAAGAGGAAGAAGAAAAAAAGATGAAGTAATGAAGAAGCGAATTACGAAAAGGGAAGAACAATTCACAGCTCACAAACAACAAAACACACGTAGCCAGAAGGATACCTAGCAGGCGAGTTTTCAAGGTTTTTGTTACTAGAAAAAACAGCAAACACTATAAAAAGGTCGTAATTTCCTACGTGTTCTTTGCAGGAGAGTTTCTTCGTTGTAAAGGTTACACATCACTTAGCTAATTTATGTATGACAAATATTATAACGCATTAATGAAAGCCTATCGTGGAAGATTTTACTCTGAAGTTAGAAGAAAGCAGCTAAAGAAAGGAACAGGAAAGAAAGAAAGAAAAAAGTGAGAAAGGAACAAAATACCAACATGTGGTTGTCGTGGAGTGATTATGTCCAGAGTACTAAATTCCTCAAGAAAAACTGTGAAACGATCGAAAGAGATCGGCCCCGACCGGGTTCGCAGATCGACAGTGTCGCCGGCCGGGGTTTATGGGAGTCGACTGGGGTTGAGGACAATGCGTCAAAGGATTAGCCGTCATGTGATGGTCGTCTACGTTACGCCTGCAGTCGCCGCTCGATCTCACTGTAAATATGCATGCATAGACGGTGGAAGGAAATGGGGTATCGTCACAAATGCAAGGGTCCCCTCAGCGGTTCAATTTCTATAAAGCTCAGCATAAGTAATCGATATATATATATACATATATTTTTACGAACTACTCTTGTTGAGCTGAAGCGAAGTTGGTATCTGTTGTTGTCGTTGCCGTAATTCTATGACTGACGTTTCGGCGAGCTGATCTTATATTATTATTGTATTATGAAACATCACTTATATGGATATTGTTACATAGAATACGTCCAGGCTCCAAAGAAGGAAGAAGTCACCAAAACGTCAGCCACAGAATCACGACAACGACAACACCAACTGATGCCGACCTCGCGCCAGCTCCACGAGGGCACTTTGTTGAGCCCTCAAAATATTAGTAGGTTTGCTTTTTTCTATTTACATACTAAGACTTTCTTATGCTTAGCAAACGAGTTTGCAGGCAGTCAACAGCGCCTGTAGGCTTGAACACTTCAGACCCATAGTGCGAGACAGGAACAGTGCGTCCATGAGTGGCAGCCAAGCACTCAGTAAAGAAAAAAGACTAAAAGTTTAAAAACACATAAAAGCTAAAAGATCTCCATGTTGATCAATTCGTGAACGATGCGCCACACATTCGACTTCATTAAGCGTCATTAGAAGTGATTGAATGGATATCTGGCGTTCACAATGACTCGCACTGGTCTACAGATGTTTCGAGCTAGTGCTGCTATCCTCCCCGACAAGTTTGGTAGCAATTTCCGAACTTAGAAGGGACGGAGGGTTTGGTGAGCATGGGGCGCAGAGATTGATCCTATGTGTATCGCAAGCCGCCTCTGATTACTGCGCTACAAGCGCCCTTTGAAAACATATTGAACAAAAAAACACTCGTAGCACCGTATCACTTGAATTATGCAGAAAATAAAAGCCTATTTAGATAAATAGCATGCGCTTTATTCTCCGAAAAGCCGGCTTGCTTGGATTTTTTCAAACACTTTAATCACTATGTGTACTGATTCCTATGCATACATACGTGGGAGCACTAGACAATACGCGTTGGTTTCAATGCATTTCGTACGTTTTGCGGTAAATAGACATTTACCTCACTATGATGTTGCATCCGTAATTCTTTTACGTTTACGCCAAAGTTACCAAAAACAATCCTTGGATTCATTTGGTCATTTGCAAGGTCCCGTGATGATCCCTTGTTCGTTGCGAGGAAGTAAAGGCTAATGATGTTTATTACGAAAAACACACTATGATGTTTCTGTTCAAACCCCATGCATTGAGTTAAATGCACAATCGCGCAGCGTAGGAAATGTGACGAAACTTTGAAAAAGCACCTATAAGTGCGTGCCTAGAAGCGGAATTGTTTGATGTCTCATTTTGTTTCGGTTGCATTCTATGAAAGCCCTTTATCTCCTTGACCAAACAGTTCTTAATGCTATTGATTTTCACAACGTTGCTGAGATATTTGGAAAACTCTGGACCGCAGGTGTCTATGGTGGGGAACGAACGCGCTATTATCCTTTCCGGGGAGTAACGCGTTCACCACCACACCATGCGGGTCCTTTGTTTCGCACGTCTCTCAGCTATTTCTATCGATCTTTTTGCCACAGCAATCACCCGTCAGCGGGGTTGATCTGGGGAGCGGTCCAGAGTTTTGCAAATATCTCAGCAACGTTGTGGTTGTATTTCGCTTAGTAACCTGCCATGAAAATTATAGAAGGCAGAAAACAAAACGTTAAACATAGCTATTGATTTCTTTCGATTTTGAGAGTCCATAAATTATATTCTTCTAAATAAGAGCTGCTCTTGCTTCTGTGGGTTTTTTTCTTCATAACTGTATGAATGGCATCAGTGCTGCCTCTTCTGTCAAACGGATCAACAATGTATTTGGACTAAACTCATTTAAGGAACGGCCCATCCAGTAGGTTGAATTTTTCCATCCGCCAGTAAAATATTTGCGACAGTACTTCTGAATAAGTTCAAAAAATAAAAACAAACTGCAAATATGAAAAAATTAAAGTTAAAAATTTAAGTAAAGAGTAGGGAGTAAATCTAAAGAAAAATTTAGTCCAAGAGAAAATCCATAGTTCTTAAACTGAACGCAAATGAAGAACTCAAAATAGATTAAAAAAAATCTGCAACCATACAGGTAGCATCAATGCAAAGACAGGAAGCGGCACGACGCATAGGAATGACAACGCGTGAATGTCGCCGCCAACGCGCTGAACAGGCGCGGAATCTACGAACGAGTAGTAGCGATAGACGCTAAGGTTCATTTGTTTACGTCTAGAACACCGGCTCCGCACCAACAGCGCCCGAGGATTCTCCACTGACATCCGAATAGGCGATGGAGCGTTGTTGTCGTGGGACCGGTTTCGGCCCGTCGTCCCTGCCAACTATCCTCCCAACCGAAGCCCGCCTTTTGGCCGCTCCCACGCTGCCGCATGGATGGTGGGCAAACTCAAGTGCGGTTAGTTGATGACCGCTCTCGTCATCAAATCCCACTAAACAACACATTGGAATTAAGAGCGTTACGAGTAAAACTGACAAATAAAATCAGAATATCAGATTCACTTTTTTCAATTGAAACATATGGTCGCTTTCAGAGCGAAGTTAGGCTCGTTCCACACCAAAAATTACTCTCCTACCTTCTGGAATTTGTTCGCTTATTTTAAACAGGTCAACTGGTGACTAAGTTATCATAGTCCTAAGTGGTTTGTAGTTCACCTTCCTATTCCTCTGTGCCTCTAATTCCCACTGTGAACAGTAAGGTTCTACTCGGAAATCGAACATGAATGGTTGAAGATATTTTCAAAGTACCGTACTCTTCAATCTATGGCAAAAGTCTTGTTACTCGAGCAGTGGTAGCCTTCTTAGATAAAAGGGAGCTCATTCACGAGAAGTCTGGCACCAATTTCCTAACCTCAAAAGGCTTGAGTGTACTGAACGGTATCTATACCACTTCACTATCCGCACCACTGACGGAGTAATGTTGGATTTAACTTAAGTAAAATATAATACGAAATTGAGAAAATTCATTTAAGCGGAAAACTTTTCAGGGTAGTTCATGGTGAGAAGTGAAGGGAAGAAGAATACGACATTAAACGAGTATAATTCTCAGAAGTAGAAATAAGACCTCGAGGAGCAAAATAAGGGTTCCTTCTTTCTCTATAACACCATGCAGAAATACTGCATCAGTTAGCGAAGTTCTAAATAAAAAATGAATTTTAAAAAATTTTTATAAGTTAACTAGCTGTCATTAAAGACGTCTTTTTTAACCCAATGAAGGGCATGGTGGGGAGGAGGGTAGTGCAGTGATCAGTGATGCTTCAATAAGAAAATGCGTTAGTTCAATCCACTCCCAAGGCTCTCCTTCAGTCCACGTGGAAGCGCCTTAGCCCGGTTATCTCCAAGATGGCGATAAGAATCGATTCAGCCAGTATTCTCTAACATCCATAAAGACGAAATCCTCAAGCAACAGCCGAAAGAAAACACGAAGTATTCGAAGACCAGTGTGGCAGAATGAATGTGGGAAAAACGAGTTGAATGCAAGAAGCGTTGGGATCCGTACAGTATGATCGATCATGTAAAAAAGTTGAAAAGCATAAATAAGGAGGGAGCTATTTTTAAAGTAAATAAAAAGTATCATTTGAGACCTTGATTATGGCTAGAAGATAGCTGTTGGTAAGTTTTGATGCTTAACTACGACATATGATTATTCCAGAATGTCTCCAGTTTTTCCACGTACTTCTCAATCCCTATTGTCTCTGGTGATTAACAAAAACTTCATTCTGCATCCAATATCTAAGATCTCAACAAACACAGCTGATTCCTACGATGCATTCTCTCCCTATCTACAAATAAGACCCCAAAAGATGGATGGGAAGAGAGTGAAGGGAGAATGACGCTATTTTCTGAGGAAAAAAAAAGAGCAAAATCCTGTGCATGTGGAGAGCGAGAGAAGGTAAGGACCCCAATGAATGGTTATAGGAAAACGATTTATCACGAGTACATTCATATGATTTCGAAGTTCGGAATACCAACGGGCAAGTTTTTTTCCGTTGCAGCTTATCGCCTAAGCAATTGGAATTTTGGCTGCATGTATGTATTCTCGGATTATTACGAGCGGACTGGCCACCATCCTTAACTGCCGCTGAGCAGCTATTCGCTAACTAACGAGCGCTGGTAACCAAGACCAGTCTAAAAAGCACAAATGTCAAATTTATTGTGCACTTTTCACAACGACTATATGTCAAATTCGATGATCAACACCAGGTTTCGGTATCTCTTAACACAACGATAAAACAAATTATCAACTTCGTGGACCTCTCTGATTGAGGTATGCTCAACTATTTATTCGAAATTCTGTGCAGTGCTTCTCTAGGCTACAGATACGAGGGGAAACACGGGCTAGAGGACACCTCCTACTTGTGCTGAGACTCAGACGGATACAGAAGAACTTGCAGTTTCTGTCGCACCGAAATGTCAAATATAATACCTTCCATGGGTGCGCATACGTACTATTCATGCATGTGTGAATGAGTGTGGGCGCATGCGGATATGTCCTGCACGTTCATTCGGCTAAAAGCCCGTAATGCACTGACTGACTGACTGAATGACTACGAAGTACACGCAGAATGGCTTGGAGTAGCCTTCTGTCTACTACGCTTTAGGAAAGCCGAACAAGCTGCCTGTGGTTAAGCTTCTCGTCAAAAACGATAAAAACAAATGGTCATTTTTCCCTGATCTCAATAGATCTCCGAAGCGGCAGCGGAGGGCAAAATGAGCACAAGCAAAACTTTTGCTATTCGAAAATAATTAAATTTGGTAATGCTTATACTTACAAGCACATCTGCATGGTTAATTGGACTGAAAAGTTGATTATTGGTGCTAGGAAAACTGCCTTCGACGTCACTGGACTGCCTAGGCCTAGCAAGGGAGAACAGTGGGCTGTAGCCGTTTATGACACCGGAGGATTTTCACTCAGAAGATGCGATAGTAGAGATGTCGGCGGAATTGGTGCTCGTGCGGTCTCACGCACACCACTTAGCGTTAAACACCGGCTCCTTTCAACAAATGACGATCTAGATAGGGATTTTATGATGGGAAAGATCTGGGCCAGTACTTGTTTTGATAATTCTCGGCCACTACCCTAACAACAAAAGACGACGAATATGAAATCAAAGCATTCTGCGCGAAATTGAAGAGGTTATGCACGGAAGATCACGTCTTCATGTTCACTATCAGCAAATTAAACATGAAAATTTGTTGTTGGAGAATGCGAGGACAACATAATACGACACCACTCAGTCTAGAAGTGGACGAACAGGAAGATTTGAAATATATCTGCAATGATGCTGAGATGTTTTCAAAACTCCATACCGCAGGTGTCCGAGGTGGGTAAATAAGAAAGTGATCACATTGTGATTTTTAATACAGCTTCGGCTTAAATGGGTTCAATACCGATTTGTGCTCTCCAGATCAATATCGTTGACTTGTGATTGCTGATAGCTCCTATATTAAACACGGCTGACAGAAAAGCGAGACGAGTGACCCGAATGGTGTGATGGTGAACGCATTGGCCCCTGAAAAGGAAACAGCGAGTCCGATCCGCTCGATCGCCACCGCAAACACCCGAGTTTTTGCAAATATCGCAGCATCTTGTAATAGTTCGCAGGATCGACTTTCTATTAATGAATTGCGGGGAGGAATGCCCCGAGATCACACGTAATCTCACTTCGTACCTCCGTATCGATCGTTGATCTGGGGAGGTGCAGTCGTCGACCATATGCGACTCTGAGCGGCTGTTCTCCCTCTGTGGAAGACAGGTGAGAAAACGGTGGATTTTTTCGACAAGCCATAGATCTTGTAATTATCGCTCAGATTTTCATCTTTCTGTTTGTGCTGTTGAGGCGTTTGACCCAATAAATTGCGTGTTAGTGTACCCTTCCAGGCCCTGAAGAAGGCGATTCTCCCGAAACGTCAACTACGGTCGTGTTGTATGTGCGTTATCGTATGGAAGTAAACGTACGCTGCTTAACAACCTCGCGATTGCTTAGAGAGAAAACAACGAATTAGCATCGTTGTAGTTGTATTTCACGTCATACACTACCATGAAAAGAATAGGCAGCATCTCACGAATAAGACATACTCACTCGGCGATGCGAAGAAACAAGGTGTATTGATCATTTATACAGAGGTTAAATGAAAATCGGTTTACAGTGATACCATAAGACCACTTCGCGTCGATTCGTCAAGAATGCGATAACATGTTTTAATTGGTCGCGTTTTCTATGTCATTCTTCATTTCTGTATTAGGGCTTTCTATTCATCATTTACAAAAAAGTTGAAGAGCTATCGAAGAGAGTGACTGAGTACAAAAAAGGTAGAACGGCTAATTTTATTTAATACCTACGCCGTTTATTAGAACACTCAGAGGAGAGAAGCAAACAGCTGTCCAAAAGGGTCAGAGTAGGGTTGAGAACAAAATTACAAGAAAAAAAAGAATATGTGGGTCAAAAACAATGAAGAGAGGCTTTTAGAGCGCTAACCGAGACCATTCTTTTCCTCATGGATAAACAACTGCGCGAATAATAATTAACCTTTTGTGTCGACTTCTTTTCCTTTTTCAGCAATCGCGAGGCTCTTATAAAGCATACGTTTAGTTGCGTACGAAAACGCAAAATCTCAACGGTAACTACATGATCAACAGCTTCTCGTCTTCCTTCATGTGTTATTGAAGAGCAGTAAATTCTATATCAGTATACTCTTCTAAGCTCTGAAGAAGGTGATACTGTCCGAAACGTCAGCTACTGTTGTGTTCTGTGTAACAACCTTGCGACATAAACTAATGTCGAGCTTAATAGAATGATTCTGGGAACTATTAACTATTTAAACATAACGATGCTCGGATATTCACCAAACTTGGACGCTGGGCCAGATCGAACCGCAAATTCTCTTTTTTTAAGAATTCTGAAAAGAACTTTAAAAGGGAAATCGCGGTTCGATCCGGCCCAGGGTCCACGCTTTGCGCATATCTCAGCATCGCTGTGGTTGATTTCGCATAATACATTGCCGTGAAATTTGTAGTAGACAGTAAGTAAAAAAAGGAAAACATTATTAACTATTTAATTTAATTAATAATTAGCAACAAGACTTAATAATCGATTCGGCTATTGCATGATGGCTTGTTCCCTTGAAAACTGGTAAATTATATTGCAAATCGAACAAGTACTGCCCTGAATCTTGGAGAACTGCCGAGTGAGGTTAAATGGCAGTGCTGGATGAGGCCACTTCATGACTGTGGAGCTTCACTCCACTGGATTCGACTCGACGCGACAACATAAAGATCCCCATCGCAACTGCTGTGATTCTCGTCTCGAATCACCGTAGTTCTGCCGAAGGCGAAAGCGCCGATACATCAACCACAATGAGCATTTGGTGACAACCACCCATCACTTATCCACAAACAATGACTTTGATCCTTCAATTTTGTTATAGATCGGCGCAGCTTAAAT